CTCTGTTTTGCATAGTACAGAATGAGACAGTACAATTTGTAAAGGTTACTTACAGGTATATCAGTTCTGACTCCCTTCTCATTATCACATTCCTTTCATGAACCACACTGAGCCATTCCCTCAGAAGTTCTTCCTCACAATCATTGAAGGGTCTTTCAGCTATAGAGATAGTTTGAAAATATTGTTCAAAATCTCAACTATCAAAATTTTCTGCACAAGGATTACATGCACATAGAGCTTAATTAAGACAGTATTTTTAAAGTATCTTTCTTAATGATTTAATTGTGAAGTAAGGTGTTTAAAATTCTGCATTTGTGTATAAACCAAGCTGGAGAAACAATTGCATACTTACAGTCCATACTTTCCCTCAAGTTGTGTTCAATTTTCACTCCCCGTCTTTCCAGCTCTCTGTGTAATGCCTCCAGAGACTGTAATTCAGTATCAATCTCTGCAGGAGAAAGTGTTATTTCTTCCTCCTTAATCAGATCAGTACTGTTACAGCCGTGATTCTTAGCACCCCGCAATGAGAAAATTGCATCTCTTTCTGCTCTGCTGGTTTTACTATTTTCTCTACCAAAGCAGAATTCTCCCTCAACTTCCATGACACATTGATGCTCCTCTGCAATCCTATGATATTCCAAGTCCCAGGGTTCCATGGTTTCAACAGTGAAAAATCTGCTGTTAATTTTGGTGGTAGCTGCTTCCTGAGCTATGATGATGGACATTCTAGGTGAGCTGCATGATGAACTAGAGCCACTAAAAGATGCTCTGTGTTCACTTGATAAAGGCAAGGACCATTGAATCTCAGGCAAATAGCCAATACCTGGTGATGATGGATCACCTGAAGTTTGCAAATCTTTCAAACTTTCTCTTGGCAGTTGTTTTTCAGTGGGTGACACAGATGAATCACTTCCTGAGAAGGAAAATTCTGCTGCAACTTTCAAATTCCTTGCAGACATTTTGTCATCAGCTGACAGAGACCTCTGAAAATTACTTTGTGTATATAAAGGCATATCAATACCACTGTCATGGGATGCTGAATGTCTTTTTAACCCTGGAGAATTTTGTTCATGATTAGGAGAATGAGGACTAGCAGGTTCAACTTGAAGTGATGGAACCTCGCTTGACACCTGGTCAGACTTAGTCTCCGAGTAATCATTTTCTGTAGAAGGTGGCCCTCCACTAATTTGACTGTCACTTGAAACACTTTCATCTTGTTGCGTGTGATCAACATTTATAATTACTATGTTGTCATTTGCATCTATACTTTGCAATCTATCTGTAGAAGTATCAGGTAAGGTAACAAATTCAGTATCCCTAGAGTCAGATGAATTATTGTTGTCCTTAGACCCAGTTGTATGATCATCAGCTTGTTCTGTACTTTCTTCACTTCCAAGCTCAGAAGAATCAGATTTTTCTTTGGATTCACTTGAAGGGAGATCAGCTGTTTTTTCTGTAACAGTAATATTTGACTTTTGTTCAATTCCTGCGGAGGAATTATCAGATTTTGATGGTACTATATCTGATTTCCCTCCAACAGATTTTCTTTCACTACTTCCATTGTCCATATACATTTTTCTTAATTCCTTAACACTCCGCCGACTTGTACCAAAGCTTGGTTTCTTTACCTCAGCTGCCTTTCCAGAGCTTATTGAATGTTTCCTTGATGTAACTTGATGAGATTCTGTCTGTTGTTTCCAAGCAGAGACACACCTTAGTTCTCTCTGAATTTCAACACTTTTCTTCGCCAAGTTATTCTTGTGTTTTTCATCAATCATGTCATTAATGTTCAGAAACTTTTCCCGCAGTCTTTGTACACCCTTGGCAGCTGTTGAAGGCTCAGACTCTTCAGAAACACTTGTCTTCCGTGATGACACTGATTTTGTTGACTTAGTTGAATCACTTTGGACACTAGAATCTGAACATTTATGCTGATTGTCTGGCTTCTCCAAGTTGTCCTCTTTTGAGTTCCTGACATGACTATCAGATTCATTTTCCAATGAATCACTGTCTCCAGTTTTGCTGTTTCCTAATTTTGTCTTGGGTTCCTGATTTGAAAATTCTGGTGTAACACAATCAGTATCACCTTCCTTCGCTACCTTATCATCATCACTATCCATTTTACCTTCTGTTGCCCTCTTCAGTAATTCCTCTTTAAAAGAAAAAAGAAGATTCACAGAAGGCGATTCTGGCTCTTTTGTAGACCTTTGATCATCAGGTTTCTGTTTAAGTTTTTCCTCCTCCTCTTGCTGTTCTTCAGATACAAAAAGAGACTTTGATAATGAAATTCCTGAACTATCATCTGGTACCTTCACACTCAAGGTCTTGCTTACCACTTCACTACTGCTATTTTTAACACTATCACTTTCATCATCAACTAGACTAATATCAGGAGCTCGTCTTTTGTTTTCTGGTGACCAGGAGGAATTTCCCTGATCACCCAGTTCCTCAGAGTCAAAATATCTTCCTTTCCCATCACGTTTTTTCCTGGGTCTTCCTCCACCAGAGAATCGCCGTTTTTTCTCACCAGGCTCAATTCTCTTTGCCTGTGACCTGTCATAACGCTGTGATGAGTGTGACTGCTTTTGGCTTTTCATAACACGAGGTTTCCCTTGGGTTAGTGGCTGTGGCAATGCAGCTAATGTTATTGCATTCTTTTTAACAACTGAGAACTGTCTCTGAAGTGGGCTTTTATCAGATGGTTTTGTAGAATTGTTATCGGACAGATTGGGAGAAGATTCAGGTGATGGACCCTCCTCTGTTTGTTTTTGCTGGGCAGCATTTGTTAAGGGTTCTAGTTTAATTTTTATGGGATTTTCCCTCTGACCTGTTGGGTAAAGCAGAAGAAAGAGATCTCTCAGACTTAACAGTCTCACTCACAAAATATAAATATAAATTCTCCATACTGTCTGTTAACCATTTCTCATAATTTAAGCAATGAGAATTTGTTATTAAATCAGTCAGTATTCCCCACTTAATATTCTTTCCTTCAAACCTTGAACAAACTGACCACTAGCAAGAATATAAGACTAAAACATAATTAACACAAGTAATATTAAAATTGTTCCATAAAATCCTCCAAAATCTGATCTTTAACTCTCCTCTCAAGCTGCTACACATTGACTTGTAAATTAGTAATGAGTATTTGGTGTTAGATCAAGATAACAACTTCTACCTGATAAGTCTGAGTATTCTCATTACCTGTTTGCTGATAATGTATGAATATAATAAGGAGAATTTACTATTTAATCATTTCTAGGAGATAGAGGTTGAACTTAGTTACACCAGAGCCTCCAAAATAAAACTTTAGTAGAAAGCTATGCACTAGAATCCTATTGTTGGCTTGACATCTTCTTTCTGAGTATACTAGTATTCCTGATTGCAGTCTTTTGTATTAAAACTTGATTGCTTTGATTCATAAGTTAGAGAATTTTGGTATCAAAATTATTTTGGTAGTAAAATTGTAATTTCAGTACCTCCTGGGCAATCAAATAAACAGCAGAACTTCTGGGTATTAGGAAAGTAATGATATGTTCCAGGTCGAAGGCAGGCTTTGCATTTATCACATCTGAAGCATGCCCTGTGGAACAGCTTCCTTTCTGCAATCAGTCTTTCCATGAGAAACACTCTGCTGTGACAGATAAAACAATCATTTCCCAGCAATGGTGATTTTCCTGGTGCACTTGGGATGAGTTCATCAGTATTTCTGTTCTAAAAATAATACAAGGAATATCAATTATTATTTTCTGTTAAACCCTTTAACTCCCGAGATCTCATTAGTAATTCTTCTTACTGTCTGCCATACAGTTCTTGTGATGTTAGTTGGGAGAATTTGGGATTAGATCAACTTATAATCCCCTAATTGGTATTTTTCTTTATTCTCATCACTTATCTGCTTGATATTGTATTGATATTGTAAGGAGAAATTCTGTCTTGGTCACTCATGGGAGTTAAGGGGTTAACTGAACTGTGATGATCACAGCCCTTTAACTTCAAGATCTGATTTCCTCCTAAATGTATTACAAGAATTTGGTTTTAGATCATATGACAATTTCTACCTGATATGGTTGAGTATCCTCTTTACCTGTTTGCTAAAAAATATATCAGTATTTTAGGGAGAAGTTAAATTTTAATCCATTGTAGAGTAAAAGAGTTCATGACAGTGATCATCTGAGGGAATAATAATAATATGCTAATCATATCAAAGCAAGATGCTTCAAAAGGCGATGTGTAACCAGCTGGTCTCATTATCTGAAGAAGACTTGCAGATTGCAAAGTAACCAATGAGAGCATACCTTCTTAGGGAAAAAATTCCTGTTATATAAATCTAACAAATAATTATAAAATACATGTACTACTATCAACACTTACTGTTTCCTGGTTTGTCCTTAAAGGTTCAACGCTTAAATATTTACTGCCTTGACCCTGCTCCTTGCTCTTGGTTGATTCTTCTTTAGCATCAGACTTGAAAACATTCCGCAAGGCTGTAGCAACCCTCTTTGCATGACCTGACAAGAGGTATATCTGATGGGAAGGTGAGATACGCTTGCTGCCTTTGTGACCTGTAGATTCACTTCGTGTTTTTGGCTGGATATTCATCTTAGTGGAATAGCCCTGGTTTGCTTATAATCAACAGAAAAAAAATTTCAACTTCAATACCTCAAAGCATATCAAGGTCTAAAAAAGTGCTAACAGAAGAGGACCTAAGCGCTAGTCTTTACTTCTGTTTTGAATCAACATTCCTCAGACTATGGCAAAACATATGCATTTCTAATAGGACTTAGCTTCTAATTTCTTCTCACAATATCACCGCTGAATTGCAAATTAAGGTCACAAGAACAGAGGAAATGATCACCAACTAAAGAAGTTCTAGATTGTCAAACAAATTCTTCTTGTCAGCACCTTAAGAAATGAATGGGGAACAGCATCGCGAATATGCATATCAATGTTAGGGTGTTAAATCTGACATCAATCTAAGCAATCCAGGTTACAATCATTCAAGTTGACATGGTGACTACCTAAAACATTGGTGACTTAATGTGCAGCAGGGTAGTTTACCAAATTGGCAAATTAGGTTTATCAGTCTTATTCTCATTACATGTTTGCTGGATAATGTATGGACATTGAAGGGAGAAGATACATGTTCATCACCTCTAAGAGTTAAAGAATTAAGAACAATTAAGAAGCATAAGGCACAGATTTTAAATTGACAGACTACATACCTGGAGTTCTGTTCTTGAAGTACTCGTACAGCTGCGAGACATAGGTGATAACACTCAATTTATCTGGAATGATATTTTCTACCATGTCACCTGCATCAAGTACGATTGGAATACCAAAATGCTTCTCTGCCACACTAAAAGCCTGTGAAGAATTTAAAGTATTGCTTATAAAATCACTTCAAGCCCTAAAATAAGTCAAACTTCACACTGAACTAACCCAGTATCAACCCCTTTTCCATAGTAGAAGACCCTTATCACTAGGCCACTTGATTTAACCACAGACCATTTGCAGAGCTCTCAAATTAGATTGCTGACAAAGCGTGAGAATTTTTACCTCATTTCCATTAATTGTTACTCTGCAGGCATCATACTGTTGAAGGGCGGGGAAAAGAGAGAATATGCATACCAATGTTCAAATTGCCACTAAAAATTATGAAAATATGAAGTACCTATGACACATATTTCTTTATTCTGAGTGTGTGCAGAGCGAGTCCATGTAAACCACCTGAACTAACATGAGAGCATGTGCACTAATAATTAAAACCACAGACTGGTGAAACGGATGCCCTGCACAAGGATTTCCAATTGCTGGGATGTGTTCAAAGAACAAAGGGATAAAGGAACAAATTATATCTAAAAAGATAATTGTATGGGTACTTAACTAAAGCAGCACTTTGCTATCTCAAAATCAACAGTTTAAATCAGAAATCTTACTTGTGTGAGAACAAGTAATATTAGCGTGAGAGCCTGAGACTGGATTTATTAGTGTGAGCCTCACACTCAATGTGTGAGACTTCACAGCTGTAATGCTATTTCAACATCGTAACCCTATATCAAAATGATCTATTTGGATATTGTTCTATAGCAATTTGCGAGGAATACTGCATCAAGTTTGTGCAACAAAAACAAAGGAGGTGGTCATGACCCAAATCATAACCTGTTAAAATTAATCATTAGTTAATGGAGTTGACTCTTTGATTAACTTAATTCTGTGATCACATTGAGCTTAACAGAAGTTCAACTTTGGATGAGATCCAAGCTTTAATATTGCTAGCCAATATTGTGTCACAGTTGAATGCAACCATTCATCCTGAAAGCAGATTGCTGTGCCCACTCCAGTAAATTATTTGAAGGAATTCAAAGCAGGCATTTGCGATAAAAAAAACTTTGAGATGTGGCAGAGGCTGTTAATATGTTGAGAAGATAACCCAATATACACGATGATCCCTATCTCAGGTTAAAATAACACGTAAATTACATTTAAAGCTGAAAACCTGACACGGAATCCCATTAAGTATAAGAACTGGATCGTCTCTTAAAATTAAAAGAGCCGCTGGCAAAATTCCAGGTCTTTGTTAAAATAGAATCTGTTATGTCTGAAAGGGTTAAGAAGGTTGTATTTGAGAGTTCGTTTGTGAACGACAATATTGCTACTGACGTTTTATAACTTAAAATCTAAACAAAAAGCGCAAACATCCAGCAGCTCAAACGCCTACGGCCAAGACACCAACTCTTTCACGTTAAAAATTTCATTGAATTCGATCGGAAAATAAAGAAATTTAAAGAACCCTGCCGGGAAGTGAGAGATCACATTTGCATTCCGAAGCGTCACGCAAAAAGATGCTGTGTGCAAATATTTTTGCAACTATATATCAACACTCAACAATTCTCTCGCGGAATAAAATGTATTCAATAACGTGACGCCTTCCGATCTCATGAACAATGCTAACGACATGACTAAGGATGAAACCCAACCGTCTGTGTATTATAAACAAAAGGTCCTCACGACAAATTAGTACCTCGCTGCAAGAATGTCAAAATTATACGCTTTGCAAGGCCGCGACCGGAAATTAGACACATAAATCTCTGACAACAATATTTGTTTAGCTTTTCAATAAAGCGCACATTTTCTTATCTCTGTTTCTAGCATCTATTCTAATTGTTATGACACCATTAAGGGAAAATAATTGAAACACAAGAGCATGAATTTTAACAAGTGTCAATGTACCATGAAAAATCTATTTTCAGCGATGCTAAGAGACTGTCTTAGTTTCCTCCCACGATTATACAACTTACAAGCTCATTGTTTTCCATGATGTTCTCTTTGGACAGCCTGTCGAACTCTCTGTAATTGAAAAAAAAACATTTTCAGTTAAACAATAAAACAATAATGCATTTCATCGGGACAAACATATCAACTTGAGTCAATTGGCCGGTCAGTAACAAACAGAATGCACCTAAATCCACGACCAGTAAGATTTTTCCATCTAACAATTACAAGCTCTAGGCTTACATCAAATCCGGCCTGTAACGGTGGATAATCGCACAGAACGCCAAACCATCCCGCCATGAAGTCGACATGTTAAACACATTCACATCGTTGTAACTCTCTGTCTGTTGTCGACACCAAAATAACAGGGACCTTGTCCCGGAAAATGAAGTTTTTGCAGCCTTTGGATCTTGTTCCATGTCAATCCCGTTCCTCTTTTTTAAAGCTATTTACAGGCAATTGTAGTAAAAATGAAGCTTAGAAATTCAAAGGTGTTGGTTTTCCTGGTCTCTTGACCGGCTGTTGGAGAACACCGTACATCACTGAATCAATGACTAGTGAAGTACGAAGCTCAACTGCAGCATGAGACCGAAAATTTCCGCACAGATGTCAAGGAAATCTCGCCGTAAAAGTGAATTTCAGCGTAGAGAGAGGACACAAACAGCCCATCAGGCCACACAGTCGGACGTAACTTAACTCGTTTTGCCTTGCACGGGGCCAGAAGGCTAAGGAGAAAAAGAAATTTACGAACGCTATCGCTATCTCGGATCTTCGTGGTTGGTAATCTTTGAGTACGTTCCTAACATTCCTCTGCACGCTGACAAAATTTGCTCGTTACCGAAGGCTCCAGAAAACTTAAAAAATCTTTCCGGATCAAAAACTTGTTAAAAAATTACGTCGGGTCATTTCCTGGTAATAACAATAGTAAGCCAGGCCAAACTTGCAAGGAATTAACTCCACCCGAGAATATACGGACAGTGTACTCAATGGCTGTTTGGAATGAAAGCAGATTCTCGTGGAAATAGTTGAACTGGGTGAAGTCAACGGAAGGGCGTGGGAGCAAAGCGCTTTTTGAAACGTAACAAATTTTTACCTTCAAGTTCTCAGAGAAAGGAAGATCTTTGCTATGTTTCACTGAGGGTATCCAGCTCGGGCCCTCTCTTTTGTCCTGCAGAATCCTTTCTTGGATCAATATCAGTATCTAAGCAACTGCCCACCTACCCCTCCCCTAACCCAATATTAACCCTCAATTGTTATCAATTTGACTGTTGTTGAAAGAAGGGGTAAGTTTCTAAAGAAACTGTGGTGCTGCGTCGGTGGGAGAGTATAGCAGGTAATTTAGTGTTAACAACTGGGTTGAAAACGTAAATTAGCCACCGTAAAGGGTAGAAAAGCTGACGTTTCGAGCGTTAGCCCTTCGTCAGAGCGATTAGGGGCTGTTGTTGAGTTAGGGGAGGGGTAGGTGGGCAGTTGCCCAGATACTGATATTAATCCCATTTCTTTTTCCGTCCTTGACACCCAGTTTCTCAGCTATTATTAGTAAATCCGACGTTTTGCATGTCACCTTCCCTTCACCTTCATATAACACCCTAACTAAAGAATTGTTTCAAATCAAGAGATCTTTCTACGAGGAAAGACGAAAATCGAAAACACTTGATCGCCGTAAGTTAACACTCTAGCTTGTTAAGCAAGGGGTTTGCAGCCTCGTTCCCAGGGCCTTTCCCTTATAAAATGGGTACGAGGCCTTCCTGATTTTCGAAGGAAAATAAAAAATTAAAATTAAACAAAAATATAATACTGTATAGAAGAAGATCGTCCTCTCTTGCACTTTATAAATATCATAACTCACACAAACTTCTCCAATAGGAAAGCAAGATGAAAATTCCCGGCCAAAAGGCCCTGTTTCCTTAGAACAGTTAAACACTCGTTTTAAATTTCGCCATAATAGATGTGATTATCGAAATCACTGGTATGAAATTAAGATACACTTAAACCCAATTCGGAGAAAGAAGAAGAGAAGTGTCAAGTCGAGAATTCCTTCTAGATACGAAGCATCTTTAAAGTTAGAAGGAGCGTTCATGAAGTAGTCTCTGCAGTTCTTCTTAGGGCTTGTATAGAATATTCTTTCCCCAGAAGGCTTAGAAAGTATCATTCTTTCCCTAAAAATAGCTCACTGAGTAATTTGGAAACGCCAATTCGAAATCATTTCATGTTGCTAAGATGGCCACAAACTTCAATTGAATCGCAAATTCAGAGTGAAATTTGTCGAGCCTGATCCATAAGCTTCATCGCAGAGCAGGCGTAATTTTCTTAGTCTTTCTGGCGAACGGAGGTCACGCACAAGGGTAGGAATCATTTTTCCACGCTCCTCCGCTCGCTCGCGTGTGACTCGCGCTTCCCTCCATTCGCCTTAAAACGCTAAAAATTATGCATATTCTGCAGGCTAAGACATCAAAGCTAAAAGACTAGGCAGTAAAGAGAGACAAATTTTGATTTTTAGTACTCTGAGTTTCAGTTTGCGTACAGTCTCTTTTGCCAGTTTTTGCCTAAAGGCTTTGCATCAAAACTACGGCAAGTGCGTAGCCTCTGGAATGACGACAATATTTCTATTTTACGCTTAAAGACTAATTTTCACAAGAAAGGTTATGCACCTCCTCACCTTATCTTGAAAATGAAGGTCTATAGAGCTTAGAAATTGCCTGTTAATTATTTGCTTAATTACATTTGGCGAGAAAGACATGTGTGATTTTTTTCTTTACATCTGTTTAACATCTTACCTGTGTTTCATTTCAAGTAATGGATTAAGCAATACCTATCATGACATTAATCAGCAGACAACTGATGCGATTATCAACGTAGAATTAGTGAGACAGAGGATTATCTCCCACACACTGTAACGCTAGTATTCATATTCTTACCAGTCATCTCTCTACATTTCCTTTGGTAAGGACAATGAGAAATTGTTTACCAATCAGATTGAGAAATAAGAAGCCAGCCACTCTTATGGAGACGAAGGGTTAAACGAGATATGTATCATGCACATTTAATTGCAATGCTTAATGTATCATAAATCGCACTGAACAGTTTAGAGAAATCAAGACTAAAATCAGTCAATGAAGTGTGCAAGTGGATCAGCTAAATGTCTTTCTTTTGATACTTAGAGATTGATGTAAAGAACGAGGAAGACTGGGCACGTTCTGCGAAGAGAGATGAGTGACATGTCGCTTGAACCATGGCCTAAGCACCAGAAGACTAAGTAGACCTGGGGCGTGATGAGATAGAGGGATGGAGAAGGAAGGAGGCTGAGGCTGGGGTCTGGGAGGGAGGTAAGCCAGCTTTCGTGGGAAGCCAAAACAAAAGCTGCGAAATATTCAGCAAAATGTATAGAATTTTAAATCATTCTTTGACAATCCTTTGACACACATATGGAATCAATAATTGACCATAATTCCACCCCACTCCCTCTCTCTCAAACGGGAACGAGCAATGCGTGCTAAGAGCAGAACACATCTTTATGCATCGGTCAAATGGCGGAAAAAGGGAATAGGGTTAGCGCACATGCTTCTTTTCTTTTCTCAAAGATTCTAAGAACTAGACAACTTCTTTGTTCCAAGTCCGAGGAGTAATTACAACAACAGAACTAGAAAATCTAAAACTTTATTTTTCATTCTAAAACTAAATATTCATTATATTTTCTCTATATAATATAAACGAGAGATTTGGCCGTACGAGCATGGGAGTTATGTTACAAAAGCATACTTTAAGAAGTGGACTGTACACATATTTACAAACATGAACTCTTTTCTTACAGTTAACCTACATTACAAATTCAACATTACCAGCCGGCTGGCTGCTAGCTCCAGACTTTCCTTATAAAAAAATATTTTAGATATTTTTTTGCACACAATATGAATTTAAATCTCCATTAGAAGAGAGGAGAATTCTAGTCATTTCGTCTGCGTTTGAGTACGTATCGGAAATAAGCAAGATTAGGAGCTAATATGAATTAAGATGACAGCGTGAACACAAGATAAAATCGCTTCAAGCGAAATGACGCAAAACACGAATTTCGTGTACTTTTCTAAGAATCCCACGCGAGGAAACACGTGCGATTTCTTCGCAAACAATTTATGCACTTCGCTTTAAGTTTTAAGGCTGGAGGATTGCCCGGTTAAAAGGCGATGGAGGATTAAATTAAGGACGTTATGAGCTGTGCTTTTATCGTTCCGTGACAGCGTAAACAAGAAATATCTCTCAACGTGATTACCACAAGGAAATAAAACACCACTTTGGACTGATGAACATTCACCAGTCTCGTCGTTTAAGTCTGTAATGAGAGGGTAAGTTTAAAAAGGGTAAACGAGGCAATTATCACACTTTCTTCTTCTCCTCGCTTGAGATGTACGATTTTGATGCAGATCCAATATCTATTGTCAGTAACAACTGTTCATTCTCTAGTCTTCATTTGAATGTTTTAACCTAGTGGAAACGATGGCCCTACCAAAGACAGAATAACTACCACCACTTGGATAGAGAAGTGATGATTTGTTCCTTAACTTTACAGACTATTTTTCCATCAACTAAGACAATTTGCTTTGGCGCTTCGTGGTCTTTTACCTCTTGAGAATTGGGAGCGCCTCTGATTGGCCAACAGCAACCAAAATAACAACCGATCGCAGCATGAGAATTTCATTCTGAACGCAACGAAAGATAACATCGCGTGGAAAACACAACGCATTCGGCATTCCGCTACACTCCAGACATCACAGTTTTAGGCTAACGTCACACTGGATTCACAGTTCCGCCTGCAATGTCTCGGTGTTAGGATCGTAGCTGCCGATACAGCAGAACACGCGATCTGTCAGAGATGTCCTGGTGCCGGGCGTATCAAGGCTCTGAGAACGTCTTTTGAATTCTTCAGGAGTGAGCACTTCACATTTGTGTGAGATCGTCTGTACGTCATTTTCGTCCACGTGGGTCGAGCGGTACAAAGATTGCTGCAAACAGGGGAGGATAAACAATAATTTTCATTTTCGAGAGTCGAGAGTAATCCACTGTTTTTAGAATGGAGCGGCATTTTTTTTTTATATTGCTACGGCTAACCAGAGTAAAGGTTTAAAACAACAATGAGAACCCAAAGCAAAAACAGACAAACTACTTAAAACGCGGGAAAAAGAGAGAGACCGAGTCGCGATTGCATCGGATTAGTTGAGAATATGGCGCGAATTTTCTAGAGCCAACTAGAACAAACCCAACGTAATCCTGGGTTGCTTTCGACACTCGGTTGAAAACTGCCCTCCTACACTCTGTGATTGGTCTAAAAAATTCGCATCACTCTTCCAGCCAATCAAATACAAAATGTCACCTGTGATCTGTTTTGTGTAAGGTAAAAGAAGCAAAAAGTTTGAGACGCCATCCATGCCTCTGTCCTTCCATAAATCGTAAAAAAAAATAACCTATCAAAGTGCGTGTAACATTCAGCCTGGTGTTAAATAGCAGTGCAGTGCTTACTTTGCCATCAGTAGGTCTCCTGCCTGGTTTCGTTTCCTCAGGATGATAAAACCACTTGACTCTGACTACCATGTTCCCGCCACACCCCTCCCACATGTTTTCGATTTTGCCAACATACGGGAGATTGAGGTTCTTGGTTGGGTTGGACATAAAAACCGCACAATCATTAACCTGAAGAACAAGTAGTAGGTCTAATCAGACATATGACGCTGGTGTAATTCGCTACGAATGAACAGACAAACATCAAATGCTGAATTTAAAGTTGATTCAGTCCTTCAAATAAACCGACTAGCAGTGTCACTTACACAAATTGTTTCGTCTCCTCTCGCAATGGCCTTGTAGAAGGTTTTCTTTCCTTTCCCCTTTCTTTTGTTCTGGGAACCTCGTCCCGACCACTGCCACAAAGGCCCTAAGACAAAAATAAAACATTACCGTTAGCTAACTAGACCACTTCTTCTCAAGATTTACTTCCACGAATAAATGACTATATAAGTGAATTGAATGCAATTGAAATGTTGAATACCTGAAAATTTCATATCTACTTGCAGACGATCCAGTTCTGAACGACGCCGTCTTCCAAGTCGAGGCTAAAATGCAACAGGAAGTAAAAAAAAAAAAAACCTTCAACATTAATAGCCAGTTATTTAACAGTTATTCTTGTCGGGTATATTTTTTCAATGTAATTTTTTTTGGAGTTTTTCTCGATTAGGTGACATAGAGAGCTTTTCAATTGAGTGTCGTAAAACCAAACCCAAAGTTATCACAACGACCAATTGGAAGAAAGGAAAATACCGTGAAGAACCAATGATAGGCAGAGTAAAACTAACCAAACTTCTTAAAGCGCGGGAAAACAACAGTGACCAAGTCGTGTTTGGTTTCAGATCGACGTAAAGCAGAACCTAAGCAATTGCGGATTACTTTCAAAAGTAATCTAATGGCGAATCAAAAGTAGATAATGAAAATGTCACGCGAAGCCTAGAGACGGCCTTACGGTCTTACGTGCACGAAGCTTAACTCTTTAACCCCCAAGAGCGACCAGCATCAAGTTTCTCCTTACAGTATCACCACTGAATCAAACATGAATGTCATGAGAATAAGGGAAATGATCACAAACTAAAGAAATTCTTGATTGTTAGACAAATTCTCCTTGTCAACACATTGGCTAATGTCCAGAGAACAGTATGGAGAAACTGAAAACTGATCTTAGGATGTAAAGGGTTAAGGATCAACTCTCGATTGGTTTTGGTTTTCGTTTGATTGGCTAAGAAGGTGGTGTGGGTTTTTACAGAGCGCGTTCTCAGAGTGCTGTGAAGCAATTGTGTGGGGCGAGAAAGAGGTTGATAGAGGTGGCTACTTCTAGCTCTTAGAGGAAAGAACTCTCTCAAAAGGTTTAAAGTTGGATTTTTTAGCTCCATACTGGGAATAAGCCGTGGTTTGCTCACCTGAAAAGGTTTATTCTCCACTAGGGGGCTCTCATCGAACGTGTCACTGTAAGATTCACTATCCTCGTCTTGTGATGTGAGCAGAGCATCACGCGTCGGGCTTTCCCCTTCGGTCCGTGAAGAGCGGAACGAGCTGTTAAGGCTCAAATTAAGGGACCTCTTTCTGAGGTCCATTTCAGAGGTCCTTGAAGAGCCTTTGGCTCCAGCGCGAGATCCCTTTTCTTGTTTGGAAGTTTCTGCATCCGATGCAGCCTCGCTGTCCTCACCTTGATCAGAAGACTCCGCTGTGTTATCTGCCATTTTATCAGCTGACTGTTTGGTGTTATTTTCATATCCCTCCGCTTTGAGAGAAGAGTGGCTCGAGTGTATCTCTTTCTCTGATTCCTTCAGTTCCGCCGAGGCAACGCTTGCTAAGTCGTTTTTGGTGCTCTCCGCAGTTTTGGCCGCTTCCTTGCTCTCCCCTTTTGTTTCTGTTTTTCCGCGCGTTCTATTTACCTTCTGTTTTAATGCATCCGCAACTTTACTCTCTTTAGAGTCTCCTCCACTTTGGCTGTTATCTTTCACTTTTGAAGCGGACCCAACGATCTCAGAGTCAGACTTTTCGAGATCTTTCGTTCTTCCTTTAAACGAGCCTCCTCTAGTTGCACCACTTTCCTTGGCGACAGCGTTGTTTTCTGAACGTTTTGAAACAAGCCACGAATCATCTTTACTCTTTCGTTTTCCTCTCAATCTCCGTCGCTTCGCATACACCTCACCTGAACTTTCGTTCCCGGATGAAAACTCAGAAGTATTCTCTTCAGCTTTCAGCCTTCTGGAAGAGGCATCTTTTAATGCCATGGCCTGGGCTGCTCCCAGGGAACTGGATCGAGGCCTCTTCTCTGGCTGAGGGGGAGCAGGAACCACTTCTGAAGGAAGCAAAGCAATGGCTAGATATAAGAGGGGGTACATTCTATTTAACTAAAAGATCGGAAGGTCGACCTCACCTTCAACAGGAAAATCAGGACGTATCCTTTTAATTTCATTCAACTGAAAGAAACCACTGTCCCCATCGTCGAATTCAATCCAGATTTTACCATCCACTTCCTTCTCATCTGGTGGAGCTGAACAACAAAAAACAGACAAAAGTGAGGGAGAGGTGAACCGAAAAACTTTTGATACAAATTGATTATCTTAATGATATCCTCTTCTAAGAGGGATGTTTTTGTGCTAGGTGTTCTATTTGCGAAGCGCGCTTTTCGATGCCGGGTAAATTCAGACGTCCTCAGCTTTTTTTAAGCTGAAACAGTTCAAGTTTTTTTAGATATGAAACAACGCTAACCTAAAATTCACTACGTGCGTTTTCAAAAAGTCTCTGAGTGAGTCAATTACCTTCGGTGACAGTTCCAGGATAGAAGCAGCGATACTGCGGACTCCAGTGAGCACATACTCGGGTGCCAATGGACAGAAACTCAGGGCCGGGTGGTTGAATGTCCTTGACCTGTTACGAGAAGAGTCAAAGGTCACGTGACCCTTTCACCTCCAGATCTCACTAGACAATTACGTCACTGTCTACCATACAATTCTTATGATGTTAGTTCTGTGAATTTGGTATTGGGTCAACTTAAAATCCCCTTATTGATATTTTTCTTTATTCTTATCGTTTGCCTGCTTGATGTTGCATTTATATTATGAGGAGAAATTCTGTGTTGGCCACTCATGGGGGTAAGGTTAACTATCGCCTTGCGGACATCCCGTAATCATTGATACCGCGCTACTAAAGATAAGGGATAAATCATCCCAGCCAAAACCGAAAAGAAATGCAGGGTTTCACGGGGAAACATGGGGGACACTCCATAGCTCGTTACATGATGGACACCTTATTGGACGACAGAAACCGTTCCTCGTCAACGGAAGTCACTTTAAGAGGGAATCTTTCCACAGATTAAAGCATGATTCACAGTGATTATTCTACATCCTTACCGCCTCTAGAAGGAGTTGTTCCGTTGATCTCCAGTGAGGTCTTCTGCCCCTTTCACCATCAAGTATTACTCCGAATCTGAAAATACAACGATACCGTCAGTTTAGGATCTTTTTTTCTGTACCCTTTCTGCTACATCGTCCAGAGCTACAGTAAGGATTCAAGATAAAAATTCTCAGAGCGTTGTTCCTAGCTAAGTTCCATCCTATTCAGCTTGGCAACATCTTTTATGTCTTGAGCCTAAATTTTCCTTCTCTTCCATTTGCCCTGATTCCCCGAAGACGTTCCATGACCTCTGAAAATTACCGAAGATATCTCGACTTCAGACATTTGCCGACAATTCTACGCCAATTTCCAGAAACTCCTGATGATGTCCCGAGGACTCTCGTGAAATGGACGAGAGTGCACGAAGAAGAGGCTACGAAGAATTGACGTCCAAAACATTCCAAATCATGTCATACTTACAAGTCAGGTTCGTTGAAAGTACTAATGCGTCCGGGATAGAACTTAAAGTCCACAGGAAGTAACAACTTCGTTCCTTCTACTAATTCGTCGACCAAAAACCTAAAACGCTCGTCAGCTACGATGGGAAAGAAAGAAAGAAAGTAAGAAAGATTTAAACTTCCGCATAAATTTCTTTAGAAACTAAGCTGATACGTCTATGTAGTTTCTGTGTGAAGTATATCACATCGTAGATTATTCAAGAGCTTGATATCACAAGTTCGGTTTCATTAGGTTTTTTGTTAAAGATAAAAAGCAACTCCATCATCGTCAAACTCAGAATTAAAAAACAAACGATAAATATCAAGCAACAAACCTGGTGATATGGGCCGTTCGAGAAGAGTGGTTTCTTCAAATTCCTTGCCTTCGTTATCCTTGACCACTTCCTGTATAAGATAACAAGTAAAAGAAATGACTTCACACTGAGACATCCGCTAAAGGTACAACTGCCACGACTGACGTGAATCAAACGTTTACTGATACTGCATTTTAGAACCCTTCTCAATTAAGATTCAAGGACAATCTGGGATTGTATTGGTTATACTTTTCTTCGCCGTTTGATTGGTCCAAGAAATACTAGCACCACTTTCTCAGCGAATCAGATGCAAAAGTGACTCAAAACAATTACGACTTTTCCCGCGCTTTGGGCAGTTGGCTTGGGTTCTTGTTTGGCTTCTCATTGGTTTCTATAGGTATTTTCCATTCTTTTGGTTGGCTGTTGCGATAACTCTGATTTTGGTTTTATGACGCTCAATCGAAAAGCGCTCCCTCTATACAATCAAATGCCAAATGACAGCACCGAAAAATGAAATTATAACTGATTTTTTTCACGATCGAAGAAGTTTCTTACGATGGTGACAATGTAGTACGCATTACATGTGACGTGAATTTCTCGCCAATCATTTGTTTGCTTTTCACGAACTCATTCCGGAGAGTTTTTCTCATTATTTCATAGGATAGTTAAGTAAAGCCTTGGGTACTTAAAGAAATGCTCATCATCAGCTGTCATTTTGACAAAAACTGATACTAAATTCTGGAAAACGCCCTCCTATTCATTAAAACAGCAGCCAGCTGAATTTACAAAGATTTGACGACATCTGCAACGTTTCTACTAACCTCAACTCTCTTTTTCTCTTCGGTCTTGTCGACAACTTCGCCATGTTTATTTTCCTTCCAAGAATTCCCCTCTTCAGCCTCTTGGTCTTCTTTCATCTCCGCATCTAATTCGTCATCGTTGTTCTCATCCGTTTCCATTCTTTCCTCTTGTACTTTTGGCTTCCCGTCCCCTGCGTTTTCGACATGGGCAACCTGCAGACTGTCAGCTCTCTCTTCCGTTGACACCTTGTCAGTCACGCTGATCTCTATGTCAGTTTCACCTTCCTCCTGTGTTTCCTCATCTTCTGGAAGATCATCACCCTCCTCCTCGTCACCGTCATCGAAATCGTACTGTAAGAAAAAATCGAGACTGTTCAGAAAAGCCCTTTCCACAAACAATAGGAAACGAATAGTAAGTGAAATTCAGACGCATTTTCTCAAATCTCCTTAGGATACCAGAGATTCTAGATGTCCCAAGTGTACTTAAAAGTCTTGCACCGAGAAAGGGTTGAAGCCTTGGGACACCATGAAAGTTAAAGACATCCAGGGTAAAACTGAGGTGCTACACTGACTTGAGTCCACGCCCAGGAACTAGACCTTAACACGGCCCATCCCTAGAGTTTATACAAAGCCAGTTACCAGCGGTCTACCGTCACCTTAGGGACCTCTTACCATCGTCTGTTGAGCCTGCGAGCAGCCTCTCATGTTTGGGTTTCGCCTTACGGCAAAGCCGCCTATCTCCCCATCGGAAGTCGCTTACAGAAAAAGTAATCAAAACCGGTGCTATCCTGAAACTCGAGTTCAGCGAAGATTGAGATAACAAGTCAACACAGAACTCAGAGGAAAGATTTAACACTCACGAATAAAGGAAAGCTCTCCCGTCGAGAGTTAGAAAGCAAAAATTACAATAAATCCCAAAGGTAGTTTCGAAGAAAGAAAACGAGCCAAATTAGTATTAGTAAAGTATTACACACAATGAAGAGGGGATCGAGTATTTTACCGTTTGCCTCGCCTTGGAGCGCGCTCTCCTGGATACTTTCAGAGGTTCGTAATCTTCAAAGTCGGCTGTCATTGAAGAACTCCGTTTCTTGCCTTTCCCAGGCCCTTTCTTCTTTTTCGTCTTGGTCTTCGATTTTTGTGTGACGTCGTTCTCTCCCAGTTCCTCCTCGCCCTGAGATCCTGACCGGCTGGTTTTCTAAAGGATCAAAAGATGGACACTTAGATATTAGTGAAAATAATTTCTCCAAGTTTGGTTGAGAGCGATCCCGAAAAACTAATTAACAAAAAAACAAACAAACAAAAAAAGCTCCCAAGCCCAACACTGAAAGCTAAATCCGCATCGGTTACTTACTCCTTTTATTCCAGACGTTTTCTTCACTTTCTTTGTGTAGGAAAACTCGCTTCCTTTTCCAACGGGTGATAAAGGACTGGAACTAGAGTTGGTGGTCACGCTGCTGTTGATAAAAATTCTCTCACTCCTTCTCGGCTGCCAACTGTCGCTGACAAACGGTGGTGTGCTTCCTTTGACGTCATCGCCTTCCCTGGGGGGACTGGAGTCCAGCATGGCTGTCCTAGCTTCTTTGCTTATTTCGGTGGTCGATCCGAACACTTCTTCATCCTGCTCACTGTCCATGGCCGCCGAGGAAGATTCTGGCAGCTTCTTCTCAAAGTCGTCCTGTGGTTCGTATGATTCAATTTGTTCATCTTGAGGCTGTTCTTCGAGTTTCTCTTCGAAGCTTTCCTCTTTTGGCACAGGATCTTTCTTCTTCTTCTTCTTTTTCTTTTTCAGCTCTTTTGTGGATTCCTAAATGACATCACGACAGTTTAAAGAATTATTAAAACTGAAAGGTGAAACGATGGACCCAAAAGAGGCCGTTAGCAAATGAGACAAATGTGGACTCAAAATTTTAAATGATCATAAATAGGAATCTATAAGCAAGCTTAGTGTCCCACCCAGCCAGAGCTTATGCCAACTTCCATAGCGTGAAGCGACCTGGAATATTACTACTACCCCTTGCATGGGGGGTATGCTAGTCCATCGCACTGTTACCCCCGACAGTTCATCAGATAATTCCCCTACTGTCATTGTCATTGACACTCCTGGGTAGAGAGAGACACTGTAAGAGGAGAGAGCTACGCCCAAGAACTTAACACAATAACTTAGCCAAGTAATGGATTACTAAAGCCACAAATATTTCCCAATTCCCTTCAAATAAGAACCTAGAAATCAACACATCCTAATCGTGCAAGGCGAGAATCAAAACAAATCTAAGAAACAGGAGAATTAAATTCGAATAAATCCAAAACATGCAAACAACGAGCGAAAGCTACGACGCCTACCCAATAAATCTACAGCTTAACCCTTCACATTCAAACATCATTATGCATATTCTCCATACTGTTCTCTATACATTTCCTAGGATGCTGACAAAGAAAATTTATCTAACAACAGGTTTACAACGAAAGCTTCTTCAGCTGGTGATCTATTTTTTAATTCTCGTGATCTCCATCACCTTGATTCGGGGGTGATGTCGATGGGAGAAATTAGATCCTAGTCAATGTTAGAGGGTAAATGGTTACATAACCTTGATGAAAGAGCTACTGGACAATAACAATCACAGAGATCAACAACAAACGTCCTTGTTCGCGATAAGAAGAGTTCTTGCTGAAGTGAGAGGAGAACTGATAGCTTGCTAATTTCTCCTTACAATATCACCCCTGATTCAAACATTAGGGTCACGAGAATGAAGGAAATGATCACCAATTAGAAAAGCTCTTGATTGTTAAACAAATTCTCCTTGTCAACACCTAAGGATATGTATCAGAGCAGTATGGAGAAAACGGATACTGAAGTTAACGTATGAAGGGTTAAAGGAATACAAGGCAGTTAGTCAAGAAAATACACGTCACCTGATCAACTGCTATCTTCTTCTTTTTCTTTTTCTTCGGCGTTACAGGAGCTTCTGAAACAAAACCGTAAAATAACTGTTCCGTCCGACACAGAGACGCCTTTATTAAATCTTACAGCCGGCTCAGAGTGGTCGTTCCAGGCGCTCGAAGGCAGCCAGCGATCAATAGGAGCCCTGACTAATAAAGTGATACGACTTGACAAATCGCTTACAACGTAAGAGAACCTCCACCAAGCGACACTGTAAAATCAATTTAGTTCAATTATGGGAGTTCATCATGAACGAGACTTGCTTTGAGGCCAAAAGGTAGAGTGCGTGGGCATCAAAATTAAACTATCAAGTCTTTGTTTGCTACTTTACCCGTTTACTTACAATTTTTTTTTCTCACTCCTAGTTTTGTTGGTTTTATGGAGACTTATGAATAAAAGGGGTACGAGAATATATATTTTTTGACAAATTCTCCTTGTCTGTGCCATCACAAATGTAGTATGTTGAATATGCATACCAATGTGAGGAAGCTGGCGGTTAAATTTTTAGCCACCTTTACCTGAATCGAAGGTCGGTGACTCAGAAGGCTTCTTAGGCCTTCCTCTTTTCTTTAGCGACGAGTCTTCAGAAGGAGACGGAGCGTCAGATCGTCTTCTTTTCGCCGTTTTATCGACGCTTGCAAACGCCAACAAACTCAAACCGTCCCGTTCATCGTGATTTGACGCAAAAACTTCGTCATCAACATCACTAGACGCCTCCTTGTTGTTCTTCTGTGCTGTTTCCAACTGCTTCCTGGCGGCTATGGCAGCAACTTCTTTCGCAATATCGTTTGGAGATACACTACTATTCTCGGAGAAGCTTTCATCTTGTGACGTCACATCTGGGAACTCAAATTTTGTTTTGGGAGGAGTAGTTATGGTAGATTTTCGTTTCTTTTTTGCACCCCTGCTCTTCTTGCCCTTGTTCGGTGAAGGACCACCCGGAGTTTCGCACGGCGTGTCCGCACTGTCGGGCGGTAACTCCTCTTCAGTTCGATCGTCTTCGTAGACTTCGGGAGTCTCGATGGTAAGCTTCGGTCTCGCTCGTTTCTTCGGCTTTGGTTTCTTGGCCTTCGTGTTTTTGGTTAGAGTCTTTGGTTCTGTAAAATCGGCGCTATGGTCAAGTTCTTTGGGGGAGGGTACACCAGCAGCTACGAAAAATGAAAGGTTTATTTTTTAAATAAAAAATGAGAGATTCATCCAGAAGTAATCTTTTTTGAGACAAACGCCAGAAAAAGTGCAAACTGATGTGCTCAAGTAAAAATCGTGTGTTCTCTCAGTTTGGCTGATACTCGTGCACCAATAACAGCCACCCATAATGCTCCAGAACCTCACGCAAGCCACTTCATCAGATGGAATTTCTTACTAAGGGTGGTGCCACACAAGTCTCGAGCACAAATGACAAAAACAAAGGAGTAGGCAAAAAGAACGCAATTTACCATTTGATAGTTGTGAAACACTCTTTTGGTTGACGGTATCGTTCGTTGGCGATCCTTTACGTCGCTTCCCTGCTCCAGATTCTTTCTTCTTCAGGTTAGCAGACTTGTTCTTGGGAAGCATTAGGTCAGGCTGTAAGGAAGTATAAAATCCACTTTATCCTTACTGCGGTTTAGTAGAAATTTGTAGTCCTTACTTCGCTGATCTTAGCATTATACACAAAGCCTATCATATAGGAACCACTTACATAGTCTAGTCTAGTTCACCCTCAACTTCTTTGCAGCTCACTTTGTAGAGCGTGCAACTGCTAAATTTGAAAGAGCGCCTGGATTCGAATCATCATAAGGCGACTCTGTCCCAGGCGATCAGTTGGTAAAACGGAGCGAAATATGACAGCGAGGCGAAAATGAAGGAGGTTTGGATCAGGTCGTGTAAACTAGTCTCGCACCCAGACCTTCCACGGCCAAGCAGTTACATCGCGCTTAATTTTACTGCCTGAATGTCTGGAACAGGCTGTGACGATAATGCTAAACATCTTTTTTCAATGCAGAGAGCGGCATTCATTGCCTTACCTCTTCATCCACAGCAGCTGGCTTGCGAGATTTCTTTTTCTTTCCAGTAGGTGCCGGAAAATCCTGAAACAAAAACGAAAACAAAAAAAAACGGAAAAAAATTAAATTTGCGAAAAAAGAAAAAAGAACTATAAAAACATAATCTGACTTACGGGAAACTCTGTTGGGCTTAGCCCGCGGGAAGGTGGCGCTGACCCGCGACCGTCCCGTTCTGCCGAACTCTTCTGTTTGGTTTTTTTCTTCTTCTTCTTAGGAGGCTCGCTTTCCTTAGAAACCAGGCTCTCCGTGTCACTTGGGCCAGCGTTATCGGGGGAGTGGGCCTCAATGACTGATTGGTGCTCTTCGCCTTCTTTGTTGTATCCACCTGTGGGTACTGGGGACGACTTATCTCCTTTGGAACCTGCGCCGAAGTACTTCCGTTTCCGGGGTCTTCCAGGGCCTCTTTTAATTGGGGTCGATTTGCCATCTTCTGCCCTGTAATGAAGGCAAACAGTTCAAGTGCAATGCAAAGAGGTTGGTGAAAAGGCAATGAAGACGGTCAGTGCGAAATCGGTCAATAGTGAGCGTGGCACTGAGTAACTCTAGTCTTACAGAGGCACTCTTTGTCACGCAATGTAACACAAATTAAAATCATTGTGCGCTGGTTGTTCAACAAATCTAGTGAAGCAAACTCAAAGCTCGTGGCGATTAAACCTGAGTGTGGGTTGACTTGACTTTTGAAGGATCATTTTCATCGAAAAGACGATAAAATCCAAATAAAGATGATCCCTTTTCAATCCCAGACAGGATTTAAACGTTTTTTATCTCTACAACATCGATACATCACCCGAAAACAGGCGTTTAGAATAGAAAAAAAACCTATCAGCCAGCTGGCGATTTACTGAAATAAAAACGAATTCTCAATACGAGGCTTGCAACTGATTTACTACAGAACTGATTCACAGTTAAAACGGAGAATTGATAAGAAAACCTTTAGAGATAAAGGGCTGGGTAAAAAATGTTCCGACGGAATTATCTTTGAAATAATGCCTATATGGCAGATTCATCCTTCACCTTCCTCGTTTCTTAGACATTACAATATACATACCCATACTTGGGTTGCAGTCGGGCAAGTTCTCTCATTTTTTCCCTGTATTTCTTTTGTAACTCTGCTAATTTCATCCGCATCTCTTTTTCCACAGATTCCACCCCCGCTACATCACTGATGGCACTCGTCACACTGTTCAAAATCGTCGTAGGGCTCCGAAGATCTTTCCGACGACTAGACACCATAGCTCGGTCCTTACTGTTCCGCCGTTTTGCCATGGACCGACGGCGATCGATATTCTCTCGGATCTTCTTCCGGTCGGCTTCGGATCTGAACGGCCTTAGCGAGAAGATCGTGGAGTTCTCTTTGTTTTCGATGTCGGTTTGAAGCGGAACAAACGATGAAGCGATTCTTCGAAGTTCACACTTCGTGTTAAAGTCGTCGTCTTCAAACTCAGAATCGCTATCAAGTTGGCGTGAAGGCGATATTTTCTCGCGTGTCATCAGTGCTCGAAGGTTTCCCCTATTATCCTCCAATGGGTCCAAACTTTCTCGAAATGTAACTTCCGTCAGGTACTGTCCCCTGTCACCTCGATCATAATCTGTTTTGGCAAAGGAATTCATTTCCTCATAGGAGTCAAGTCCTTGAGAGTGTTCCCTTCTCGACAAGCGACTTTCCAGGTTTGTTGTCATGTCTTCCTTGGAGACATTGCGGGTAATCTCGTTGTAGCTTGCAGGAATTTCACGATCGTGAGCCCTATATGAGTCCTCCAACCTCCCTCTTTCCGAATCGAGGTCGGGTTTCTCGTTCACAAGCCGTTCAGATGAAATAGTTTCATGTGCCATCAACTTTTGTGGAAACTGTGAGGGAATCTGTCCCGCAAAAATTTCACGGGTTTCTCGCGAAACAATCCTCTCACCCACTAGGTTGGGTTGCGCCTCTAATCTTCGTGGAGTTTCCACTACAGATTAAAAAGGAGATGAAAGAATCAACGGCTGGTTTCAATAACTGATCACCAGACCCCCTTCCCGAACTAAATTCCTCAAAAAGTAAACATCTTCATATTATACCACGAAGACCTGCCTTTCACAAATCAAAACTTAAACCACTAGCAAAGTAAACTGCAAAGTCTTACAGCCTTACCTATTTCCTTAGTTATGACTGCCTCGGCGGAAGGGTGTGGTCTGGGGGACTTGACGCGGTCTAAAACGCCGTTCTGGTCAGTCTTTATAGGGGGTGTGCCCCTTACAGCCCATTGGGATTCTTCACCGCGCCCTTTTTCCAAGTTGGACAACGTGACGGCGGCGGAAACGGTTTTTGGAGAGGCGCTGTCACGGTTTACTTCCGGCGTCCGAGAGGAAGTGGTAGTCACCGGAACTGTGAGGTTAACCTTTGGAAATTCCCTGAGAAACGATGACTGAGATCGCGGAAATGGAAAATGAGAGTAAGGGTCGCGTGATAAGTAATCTTTAATTTGTTTGGCGAACTGTCCCTGCGGAAACGATTTATAAAGAGATGAGATAAACAACATCACAAGGCATCCCGAGGCCGCAAGAAATATAATTTTTCTAAATTCTAAATGGATATGCAATTTCCCTGCCCTGATCGGACCAAATGCAACTCGACAGACATTTGCAACCGGCTCCAGCCCTGGCCCGCTCTGACACCCCTCTTTTTTAATTCGACTCTAGGTTTGCAAAAGTTCTAATCACACCTGCCTCAAAAGGACAACTTAGTTTGACAGCCAGAATGCTAGATAAAGGGCCGCGAATTCTAGTCATATGCGCAAACGCTTCACCGCTTTCTTCTGACAGTGACCAGCAATGCTTTCCTATACGTAAAAAGTCAATTTTAACCTTTCCGCAACCCCTTTTTATTTTATGGCGACCAAGCACCCTTACAGAAACTCTTACCTGGGCATCGATTTGCTCTTGAACAACTCTATACTTCTCTGTCAGCTTTTGGTGGGCCTCTTTCAGTTGGCGACTGTCGTAAATCTTTTTCTCTTCACGCGGATTGGACGTCTCCTGCTGCTGACCGATCACATGACTTTCACTCTCACGGGACGCAGGCCTGCGCGGCGCGTGTTCTTGAGGTGCGATGATTTCAGGCTTCGGTCTTGGAGCTGGTTCTTTGGATTGACTTTCGGGTTGTTCCTGTTTTATGTCTCGAATTTTTGGTTGCTGGCTGGAAGACTTTCCATCTTGGCTTTCATCCTCAAGAGGTAATTAAACAAAGAGTGTTATTGAAGGAGCGTCTTAAACGTTGTCGAAGGAACAAGTGTGTGTTTCCTTAGGCAAACCCTTAACACAGTATTTCGTATTTCACTAGAACGAAGCAAAAGTGGTAAAACAGCCACGCTCCTGCTTAACAATAATTTCGAGGTTGTAACAGCTGGCTTTGAGCGGAAGGTCTGGTTTGAACCAGTTTTAAAATGGGTTGAAAGCAAAAGGCCTTTTTAATCAATGTGGGCCAACAAGCCCAAAAACAAAATGGAGTTACGTTTTAACCAAACTGTGGCTCGTTCAAAGCATTAAAAAGTAGGCGTTTACCCTGACACCCTAACATCAGTATCCACATTCTCGACTCTACTCTCTTTATATTTTCCTATGTTACTGATAAGGAGAATTTGTCTTACAACGAAAGCTTCTTCAGTTGGTGATCATTTCCTTTATTCTCGTGACCTTAATATTTGATTCAGCGGTGATACTGTATGGAGAATTTAGATGCTAGTCACTTCTAAGGACCAAAGGGTTAGGGGGTCATTTTGTGACTGGCATTTAACAAATTAATCAAAATCTCAAGACGAAGACCCTTGAATCCTGCATGGACAAAGCTACGGAGCGTGAACAATAAAAAAGAAAAGCAAAGGCAACATGGCATCAACCCTTTCACTCCCAAGATCTCAAAAGTAATTCTCCTAACTGTCTCGCATACAATTCCCATGATGTTAGTTGGGAGAATTTGGTATTGGATCAACTAACAATCCCCTAATTGATATTTTTACTCATTCTCATCACTTGTCTGCTTGATGTTATAATGATATTGTGAGGAGAAATTCTGACTTGGTCACTCATGGGAGTTTAAAGTTTAGTACCTTGCGCTGTGGATCAAAATGTTTGTCGCCATAGTAGAACGGATATGCCGAAAAAGGGAACTGAGAAGCTTGTTTACCAAACAACAACTCTTGTTTGCTTCGTTCGTGAAGTTGCTGCTGTTGTTGTTGTTGTTGTTGTTGTTGTTTTAATTGTTGTTGCTGATATGCTGGCATCATTTGGCAGAACTGTTGCCACTGGGCTTCGTCCCAAGGAGGCCACATTCCATGGAATCGCGGATCCATCATAAACGCCGCGTTCTCGGCTGCAACTGAACAAAAGTAAACAAACAAAGCAAACAAATAAACAAAAGAATCTCGCCGAAACCCAAAGAAAAAAGTCATAATACTCTAAGTAACTAAACTTCTCCCTAATTCTGACTTTTAAAATCAGACTCACTGCTGTGCGAAACAACAGAAGACAGAAGTTTCAAGATACTCAAATTTGATTGTGTAAGAATTTTGAACTTACCAACGGGAACGTAACTCTCTGGGTGAAGAACCATAAATGATGCTGCTACTGGGTCAGCGGCTAAGGCTCCATGTGGGAACATTCCTGGTGCGGTAGCCTCCATCATGTGTGTGCGGTACATCGCGCTGTAGATAGACGGATCCAGCACCAGGAACGGCGCTTCCTGCATACCCTGCGGCGCCGCCAGCATTGAAGCAAAGTAAGGGTTGGGAAAAGGACCGCCGTCCATTCTAAGGAACTGGGCGGCTGCTTGGTTTCCTAGGCCTGACATACCTGATTCTATTGTGGACTCTCGCGAAACCCCTTCACTGCCGCCATTGGCAGCAATCCTGCTTTGAGGACCAGGCGCCACAGACGCTCCGTAGGCGGTCGATGGCGCGGTGGTGTTCCTCTGCTCAGATAAGGGGGAGGAAAGCCGGCGCTGTCGAACATCACCAGCCGCCGATGACACTACTGCCTTATCAGAGGACTGCTGAAACCGAAGCTGAGCTCTTTTATCCGGAGAAGCTGATTCTGATGACGACTGTCTCGATCTTTCGTCGCTATTATCCGCAGAAATTTCCTCTGATTCACCCCGTTTTTCGCTTTCGAATCGCCCAGTGGGCAACTTTGATTTCATATCATCTTGCTTCGGAATGTTTCTCCTCTCCTCAGTCCTTTTCACAACTTCCTCAGCTGGATTCGACAAACGATTACTCTCCACTAAGTTTCTAGAAAATGCCGAGGCAATGTCGGATTTCCTGAAGCCATTTTTCTCCATTTCCTGTTCCCTCTTCTCGTACATTTCAATCGTAGCGTTCGGGGGAACAAATACTTTGTTATCTCGCACAGCGCCGCCGCCACGCTCACCGTATCTTGTTTGTTCACCGTTCGGACCGGCGCTATACTTGAAGAAAGGAAACCCACTCATGGATGTACTGTTGTTATTACGATCATTATTCTTTTTGCCGTCGCCCACTGCCGCAAGTTCGCGAGAATCCGGTTTCCTTCCTGCGTGTTCTTTGTAAGAACTTTGGTCTTTCGTGCGGGTGTAATCAACGGTCCTCGCAACATCAACGCCTTCCTTCTCTTTTTCTGATTTAAGCTCCGAGCGCGGAATCCCCACCAAAGATGGGTCATTCAAGTCTCGGTTATCATGACTATTGTAATAACCACTCGAGGGTCTGTTTTCTTCCATTCTCGAAGTCTTAACGACTTCGTGCTTCGGGTATTTCTGGTTTCCCTCGCGTCTCTCAACGGAGAGTCGGAAAGACCCTCCCTTACTGTTCACAACGACAAAGTTACTTCCTTTTCCATCTTCACTTTTATTATTGTAATTTACGTACTCTCCCACAACCGACTTCTCGTTCCGACTCATAAACGGCTGGCTTCTCTGATACTCGTCGTTGCTGGCGCCTATCGGAATCTTACCACCGCCAAAATCGTTTTCTTTTCGTAAGCTCGACTGTCCTGACCCAAACTTATGAGGGGCTTTTGTAAGTTTAGATTGCAAATGCTCGGCTGAGGTCATACTGTCACGTGAAACGTCACGCGAATCTTCTTCAACGTCTTTCCCGCCAAAACCTTTATCTGTCACGCCAATGGCGCGCAGCTGCGATGGAAGTGTTCCATAATAAGATTGTCTGTCCCACGGTTGCATTGGATAAAAATTCCTCGCAGAATGTTTCTGAGCATTCTCATAAGCGCCTGTCCAATTCTGATCACGTTCCTCCCGAGGGGGTTGTTTAGCACGCCAACTGTTTTCTTCTGCCTTATCTCCTGGGGCTTGCTTTACCCCAGGATAATTTGCGGTCCAAGACACCGTACCACCATGACTCGTCATGGCCGGGACAGAATTCGAAAGATGAGTATAGCTTGGTCTCCACGCTGCATACGAAGAACTTTTATGTTCAGCTTCGGATGAATGAGCCACGGTAAGTGGTGAACCGTTACTTATGCGTGGCGCAATAGGTGTGAGTTTCGGCATGGTCGATGGGATATTTGAATGTGTCGTATTTGAGGATGTTTTCGGAGGCAAAGTGTTATGATACGGAACAAGAGTGGGCGGTTCGTTTGCGGGATAAGGCGAAGAGCGCGCTTCAGAAGTGTAGCCTTTTTCGTACGAAGAGGAAGAAACAGGACCGTTTTCAACAAGACGGGCTGAAGCCAGCCCATTAGTGGGTTTCTTATTTCCGTTAGAATCAACTGCTAAATGTTCGAAACCTTTCGCCTTCGAAATTTTATCGCGTGTCCGGTCGTATTCGGTTGCAATCGATTGTTTGTCACGGCGGGGCACGTCCTCGCTACCTGGCGCGTCACGCAGCGACATGTCACGCGATGGTGGTCCTTTCGTTCTTCCGTCATCCGAATTTCTAACTTCACTTCCTTTTCCTCTGTCGGGATATCTCAGAGGAACACTGGAACCTTGGGTTTCGGCCGAACTTCTTTTGTCTACATCGCTCTGTTTCTTTAAAGTGTCCTGTTTGTCTGTTACTGTTTTAATAACACTTTCAGTTCGCAGGGGTTCCTTAGTAGAGCGGGCGAGTGTATCAGCAGATCTAAACGAAAAAAAACAGATCCAAAGCATGACCCAATCGTGACTTGGTCATCCGCGTTTTTCCGCGCTTTTGGAATTTGTTTGTTTTTACTTTACGTTCTCGTTAGCTCTGTGCGAGATTTACTTTCTTCTGATTAACCCTTTACACCCTAACATCAGAATGCATATTCTCCCTACTATTCTTTCTACATTTCCTAAGGTGCTGACAAGGAGAATTTGTTTACCGATCAAAAGCTTCTTTCTTTAGTGACCATTTCCTTTATTCTCATGACCTTAACGTGGATTCAGGGGAGATATTGTAGGGAGAAATTAGATGCTAGTCACTCTTAGGATTTAAAAGGTTAACTGTTGTGATTTCCTTGGTTTTGGTTTAATGACACTCGATCGAAAAGCTTTCTTAAGCTACTACTTAAGGTAGAACTGCACAGAAAAACGTGTCGGTATTACCACTTTCCAGAACACCTAGTACCTGAAATAAAGTAAATATTAAAATCTTTGCTGATCATTGCCGACTCTGTGATAACTAATACTGGTATTGAAAAACTTGGTATTCTCAAAACCAACCTTAACTGAGACGATGGATTGCTGCACTTGTTAGAACCTGATGTTTCTTCGCTGTTTTTGCTCCGTTGCGCTTGTCCGTAACCAGCAAAGTTTTGGAAGTAGATCATGGGGTTACCATACGGGTAGGGAAGATTCCCCGCACTTAGCGCCCGCGGGTCCATACCTTGTCCCGCAAGCATCCCGTACGGAAGACTCATGGGGATCGCTGAAAAAAAAGGGTTAAACGAAGGTTTCATTTACAATTTTATTGGTATGCGTTGCAGTGGAAAGAGAGGGAGGGAAGCCGGCACACTGTGTGATTAGGCGAGACACCTTACTCCTACAGTGCCTGTCTCCACCCAAGGGTAAAAAATGGGTGGCAGTCAACTGTCGGGGAGACTGTTGAAATACTGGGGTAACCTGAAATGAACTGGCATCCTATCCACGGGGAAAAGAAACACTCTTCGTCGCTTCCTGCTACGATGCGGCTGGACGGGACACTAAAAAAAACTTCATCATACATTAAAACTTTGGTGAGAGTTTTGGAGTGCTTTTAAAGCAAGAGTCAATAAACCGAAATCAAATCACGCAGAGATTTCAACGGCTAATCACGAAGAAAGAAGGGAACAAGATTACTAACAAAACAAACAATCAGAAAGGAAAGTAATTACTACGTGGAACTTGTCTTTAGCGCGGGAAAAGTTGTGCTCAGATAACAAATGTTTTTTAGTTTGGCACGCGCTTGGCTGCTGAGGGAAGCACGAATTTCTCTTTTTTCGGGCCATTCCACGAAAGAAATCAGTAGAACAAAACAATGCAATCCAGAATTACCACTTGAAAAAGAAAGAGACGATCGTTAGGTTTCAACCGAGGTGTAAAGGTGAAAAAGTATCGACATTACGAGGCCAAAAAAAAAATTATATGTTCACGAGTGGAGAACTTAATTTCTTCTCCGAAATATTTACAAAGACGAATGAGTAATGATTTCTCGATGAAGCACCTTCTGTGAGAAGTTTTGTCCAGTTACGAGTGTCGTAAACTACAACTAGAACATTCTCAAAGAGGCCGAAAGGTTGAAAGAAGCATTAGAAGTAGGAAAATTACCGGTTCTGACAGCTTGTTTCTCGTATTACAAAGGTAACGTGTTTTTTTTTCAGACGAGCAATCTAGCTTAAGGTTACCAAATATTTCAGACACGATCCGCTCCATGATTCATTTTCAAAACTTGAGGGCGAAGTTCAAGTGTGTCATCCGATTTTTTTTTTTATAGTGCACACGACTGTGTTATAAATATTAATGATAGAGAGTTACAAACGCCATATCAGTAATCTTTCACATGAACTTCATCGAAACACGCGCTTCGACCAAAACTTACATAAAGGTGACCCCAATTTTGCATTTTTTCACCGTTTATGAATCATCTCAACCCGACTACCGCATTTTAAACGTCGTTTTTCGTTGTTACTCTAAGATCATTGGTAGACTCTACTGTAGACGATTTCAAACTATTCATGGTGAAGGAAAAGTGACTTCCGACTTACATTTTGGTCAAAATATCTGATCATATTTAGGCAAGTTACTGTCTGGGAGTCAAAACTTACATAGCGTGTGAGGGCTTAATTAACTTCAGCCAAAATAGGTCGGCCAAAACGGTTTAGTTAAAAACAGGATTAACTACACTGACCGACAAAACTGGCCGGCTAGTTCTTGTATTTTACTGGAAGGTAACGTAGTTGAAGACCAGCTTTAAATACTAGTTTTTGGAGTCGAAATAAGTGGAAAATGACCCTTTCATTTTATGTAAAACGAACAAAGCTCGGTTGGGATAACGAGTGAAATAAGAACATAGGGTAGTTTGATTCAGCTTTGCGTAAAAGATTATTTTTAGCACAAAACTTTGGACCTCCGCTGGAAACATTTTAACCCTATACGTCAGTTCGCTATAAATCATTTTCAGTGCGCTACAAATTCGTCTTCTTAGTGTAAGTTATCTGTTGCAAAATTTTTTGTTGCAGTCAGCCGTTTGCTCACTGCTCTGCGGTATGCGAGTGAGAGAGCTTGAAAGTCCTGTCTTTAATAATATTACATCCTTCGATACATAGCAAATTGAATTTCAACAAGCTCTACCTTTACATGTTCATGATTTCTGAACGGTAACTGCATTTGACTGATCTCTAAATGCGGTTTTGTGTCTAACCAAAGGTTATAAAAAAAAACACTGTGACTTGGTAGTGTTCAGTTCTGACACACAAGGATGGTTGGAAGAAACCAAAAAGCACGAAAACACCGAAGATTAATACTGAAGTATTGAAAATAAAGTGCTTCAAAATAGTGAGCCTAAGTTTCCCAGGAACAACAAGACGTGGCTTGAAGGTCACCCATAATTGGCCTTCCTGTGTCTTAAATTTGGTTCATCGATCAAATTTTCATATCAACCCACGTTCTAATTTTGTGGCTTCCCCTAACATCTTTGTATCTTTGTGTCATCTATATCCGTTTTTATTCGATTATAAATGGTTGAACGATTTCACACAAGCGCAACTCTTATAAACACACCCTGCGGTTACTCAAAATCCAGCTTACCTCTCGATTGATGGCGATCAGTGCTGAATCGCCCATGAAAGGAAAAGGTCTCACCGTAAGAAATCTCGCGCCTTATGAAGCAATATTCTGAGAATTTAGATTCCGCCACTAAATTCACTATTAAACCATGGTTTTATTTACACAATGTAGTTGTGCCCATACTGAGCCGTTTAATGTTAGCCTATGACACAACAGATGTACTATGCTTTACAATAACAGTTTCCTGTTTAACTTGGCGTGCTTACTGATCTCGGAGCCATATCGAATCAAGGAATGCGAAAACGAAGACGAGATTTACGCAAGAGATTTAAATCGACCTCACTTAAAAGCGAAACAGCTGAATTGTTAAGCAATTCCTTGACCTCGAAAAACTACCGCTGAAGACTTGCAAAATCAAAGCAAGTTATCATTTACACAAATGACACTTAGTTCTATTTTTCAGCATGAAAAAATGTCAGATCATTGTTGGCGATCTTAGTGACAGTGCTCTAGAATTATCCCTGACCGCGGTTCTTTCCACACGCGCAAAAATCCCAAGTTTCTTCACCTCAAAGATAAGGTCAACTCCCACCTTACTATTGAAAAATGAGTTCAATCAAATAGTCAGCTGTTTATACAAAGGGTGCTACGGAAGCAGGGCGAAGAGGCATTCTAAACCGTTACCTCGCTTCCTAAGAAAAGTGGTATTTGAACAATGATACATGAATGCTGGGGAATTATCAGTTTGCGGGAGAAATTACATCATCTTTTATAGTAGCAGTAAAGTACATCTAACTTAAGAAAAGTAAGTTCAAACGGGAAAATGATTTTTCTTCCGTGACTGGCCAATATGAACATTCCCTTACAATGTAATCTCGGTTGAACCGAATGACCCTCTATCGTAGGTGAGTAGTTTGAACACACGCGAAGTTACGCCGGAAAATTCATACCACTAGACCTTCGATCAAATTCTCCATTGCAAAGAGCCACAATTTCCGCCTCACGTGTGCAAGAAGTAAATTTAAACGAGTGGCGTTAAATTTCAGTCTGGGTTATTCAAAACCGATTGTTTTGACAGTGCTGCAGGCGATCCTACGCGTCAAAATTATCTGTTGCAGTCAGCTGTTTGTTCACCGTTCTGTTGTGCGCGAGGGAAAGAGCTTGAAAGTCCTGTCTTCATCTTGATTACATCCTTCGATGCAAAGCAAATTGAATTTAAACAGGCTCTATCTTTACGTGTTTATAATTTCGGAGCGGTAACTGTATTTTATTAATCTCTAAAAGCGGTTTTATCTCTAACCATAACTAGAAAAAAGCTGTGAAGATATCATGCGCTATTTAGGGACATATTCAATAATCGCCTTTCAAAAGATTGGAAAATGACCTCTGTACGACAGCATATCAGGGTCGGCGGGGATGTAGAAAGCAAACGTGCTCTGTTTCGCGATCTCCTGTACACATTTTAAACTATGAAACAAGTGTTATATCCAGAAGCTAAATGCAATTCCACATCCCACATAACCGCTGAGAGAGAGGAGAACACTTATAAAACGATGGAAGCGGAAAGCTCTTGTCATTGAGCAATCACAGATTTTGAAGACCTCGCAATCCCAAATAAAATACATTTGAGTACCACCCACAAAAATTCACGAGAACATGAGTATGATGAGTGTTACGATCACTGTCATGATAACGGTCGTTTTATTCGTCTTTTCAGACATGAAAAGTACTGATTTCAGTGAACGCTGAAATGCAAGCAAGAAAGCTTGGTATCATTATTGGTAATTGCACACTTGTAGTCACAGATTGATCTAAATATTCACGGACAAAGTATAATATATACATTTTCTTAAAAAAATAAAGAGGGCGGCTTTAATTTAGGAGCTAACTTCTTGCCCTACAGTTTGAATGATCATTATTGGGAGAAATAAAATGGAAATCGTTGTAAAAACTGTTTTGATATAGCAAAATAAAAATTATAACATTTAAAATCACGAGCTTTCCCTTGTTTGCATTTTTTACAAAAATCGGTATTAAAAGATTATTTTTCAATTAAGGATGGGTTTATTATTGGAGTGAAACGTTTTAGTTGGTTTAAGCTTTCTGGAAAGCTTCCATAACAGGATTTGCATCAGTTTCCGCCGGCATAACCAAGGCAGCAGATTTTGAACCCAGCTGAATTCTATATACATTTTATTGCCAGAACTTTGCTTTGGAAACACGTACAAACAGACAGTCTAAATATATTGCCATGATTTTGAGCCTTATAGCACTATTTCTGAAAAAAAAACAACAACAACAACAAAAAAAAACACTTAATCGAAAGGTTCTCGATATTCCCAGATTATCATTTTAAAAGTAAGTGAACCGGGCAATTTTCACATATGTAATTTGCAAGTGCGCTCAGTTTCCTCTGTTTTTCTAATATCTATAATTTTGTTATCTCTTCAATAACATAAATTTGTGTTTCCTTTCACGTTGTGTATCGAACAACAAAATGAAGTCGACAATATTTCGCCGAATTAATTTGCCACGATGGTTAAAATATCGCCGTGAATAAACCGACGTAGAAACCATAAGTTACAAGAAATTTAAATAAACAAAAGTTCTGAATTTGCGAAGGAAAAGCGCTTCACCGCAATGCACTGCAAGACTTGCTTTACA